TAACCTCTATTCAATAGTGTGTTACAACCGGAATATGCGGCGCTATATGTAAAAGAGTTCGTCTCGAAGAATGGCAATTAATGATGTTCAGCGAGCAATTTGCATGTAAATTCAGCTAATGAAGTACTCCAAAGACTATTAAACATTATTTATAGCTAAAACATAATTGCCTCAGCTCCTTTAGCTCTCCTGTCACAAAGCAGAAATCAGTTTTCTAAAATTTCTTCAGATACACAATTATGAGTTGTTTAACCACTATATTATGTACATTAGTTGATACCTCGAACACAATGAGCGCATACAGAATACGAAATGAAATCAATTAAAACAAAGAATATGGAAGGTAAGTACACAAGCAACTGGCAGAGTAAACGAAATAAAGACGAATGTGTACTTATAGCCGCGTCTTCTTAACGAATCGCAAGGGTTCATTGAAACAGCGAAATCATCCTCTTTAACTTGATACAAGATTTGGCACATTCAAATTTTTCATCAGAAAAACAAGGCTTTCCAAGTATTGGCGATCACTCTTGATGCATGTAATTCATACAGGAGATTACAAAACGATCAAGTTATACCGCTGAGTTTTACATTAAACTTCCACATGTGCTCACGAACATTAAAAGCCTTGCGTGTTCGAATTGTTGACAGATGATACTTTACATTTTGAAAAGACTAAAGCAGGTATGAAAAGCTTGTAGATAAACTCAAGGAACGATCGAAAACACCTCTCTACGAATTATGGTGTTGTGGAACAGAAATTCCGCTTCTGTGTCACGAAATACTAACCTTGTGATAGGTCACAAAAGAGCAGAAGACCTTAGTGTGATGCCCCGAAGTTTTCTCATCTCAAAAGAACAAAAGCTTAAGAGTAATTCTTACCTGAAATATTCGAAATCATCTATCCCTGCTCGCTGTAATAAACAAGATTCATTGAAACGCACGATTGATCACAGAACAAGGGTTTACGCAGTTAATAATAGAACAATGGTGATTGGTCCAATACAACACGACTTTGTCACTCATTTGTGATTGGTGAAATACAATACGGCTTTGTCAACGCCAATGTCTGCCCACTTGATTACGACGTGTCGAAAGTTCGAGAGACGTCATCATTCGTAAAAATTGCCACAAACGGAAATTTTGACGACAATGTTCGGGTTTTCACGTATGGAAACGAACGAATTTAGATTTTCATCGACGCGAGGACGCGGTTGGCAAATGGAAACAACATCAGAACGGTTACTGTTTGTCGACTTACCCTAAGGGCGTCTTTTAAATTTTGAATCTTTTCAGGTCCCAAAGTTCACTTAATTAGGTAATTTGCTTGATCATCAGGCTAATCAAATTACTACTGAATAGCTTCCTGAGCAAATGATAGGGAGACAGGTGGTAAAATCAAGAATATTGCTTGTTCCATTCGGTGCTAAAGTCGTTTTAGGCAAGAGGGCATAGACAGTTAATTGTTATACACAGGGGGTCCAACGATCAAAGAAAAGCCTCAAGTGATCAACAAGGTTTCTATTAGTTGCGGTTTATGCGCAGTTGAGCTTATGTTTCCAGGACAATGACTCATAAGCTTTCCCTGCCTGATTTTGCACTGTTTGTCGTTTTCGGGTGTGGAAGGGTGCAACTGCTTTCCCACTTGGTTATTATTTATCGTAAATCCTTAACAAAATTCCGAGGCGGTGATCTAAACTGCTTAAAAGGATTATCGTAACCGCGTTAGTGTGAACTACGTCGAGAACAGAAATGTATTATTTTTGGGAACACTGTAACAATCTGGAACACCCACAAAAGTAATCCTAGAAAGCCTTCTAATATCATTCGGAACACCCCTGGATTCTATTTTGACAATACACAAACAAACTAAAAATAATTTGAACGAGGGAACGCTGCGTTTTTCCGAGCAGAAATAAATAGAAAGTCTCGTGGTGCCTGTTGACGTAAATCCGTTGACTAGAAAAGAAAGCAAGAAAGATAAACTTGCCAACCATTAATAGATATATAAAAAAGAATATCGGATGAATAAAAAAAATGAAATAAACACAGATACAAATAAAACTAAGAAAACCATACACTCTCGATGGTTTGGGTGGATCGCTGGATTCCTTTTCCGTCGGTCAAAATACGTATACTTTACGAAAGACAAGTTAGCAAGGAAGTTCATGTGCACCGGTGAGTTGGGGTGATCGAGATAAAGCTCCTGTTTCTGAAGTGGCTGAACTCTTGCGCTCAGCTTCATTTGGTATGTTTGGGCTAAACCATTTTGAAACTAAAATTCATTAATTTTCTGGACTCAACTTTATCAATGTCAGTTATATGGGAAGAACAGAGAATCAGAGGAAGATAACAACGGTGTAGACATTTTTGACGCCATTGAGCATTACATCATCAGTTCTCGCAAGCTTAATGGTTGGGTTTTTGACAGTTTTTCTTCTCATTCAGTTTACACAAACTATCTAGGTATGTGTTACGGTTTACTCTGTCATTTTAAAAAATCAGTTTTGGTTCCTATTATTATTTGGAATTCCATATCCTTACATGTCAATGTTATCGGCATAAGTATTTTCGAAAGTACGTGAAAGCAGCCATGCTTCAAAAAGATAGCATTTGAGTACCCTTTGACCCTGTCAGCGTTATCAGAATTACATTTGATAAAAATACGAATTTGCATGAAATACTCAATAAAACAGTTTCATTCCGAAAATGTTAATTTGCAGGGGCAAAGATAAACATTTCGTGAAAAAGCTCTCAGTGAAGTAAGCCCGAAATTAGTTGCTGTTAACTTAACTTGAGCGTGCATGCATTGCTTTCAGTTGCGAAATACTCTTTTTTGCCATAGGTTTATCTCTTTAGATCCTTCTAGCTTCATCAGCTTCTATTGAAGGTATCTGTTCTATGGCCCTAAACCGGCTACATGCTTGGATTTATTAGCCATTCCTAGGTTTTCGCTAAGTGCAGATGCACCTCTTAGGCTCTTGAACTGACTTCTTTTAAAAGAATTTCCTCAGCGTGATCCGTGAAAGCCTTGTGACCAAATTGGCGGCCGCACCAGTGAAGGTAAGAGCTGAGGGCTCTCTGGGCGACAGAAACTTCTTGGAAATTCATATCCTTCGTAACTTTCATCCCCAGTAACAGACTCAGTGAAATACCTAAACAATGGCTGCAGGGCTCAAACATCTGTGAACGCAGTTCAAGCTCAGGTCTAGCTGTCTGTTGAGGAGAAAAACTCTCTCTTTAATGTGATTTCGAAAGAAAAGGTATATATTAGTAATTACTATTCAGTCCGCAATGAGAAATATAATCCATTACGAACGTCATAGATATGGAAGTAGGTTGGGTTGTGGACCTCGCATAATAATTAACCCGGGAAAAGAATATACCTTTGACGCAAAAGGAAACTGGGATGTTATTTGATTGTCTGCACCTACAATACCAAGTTAATTTAATTTTGACAATGTTCAACGCTCGAAGATGATACGTAGTTCTTTTTGTGCGATAGTTGATCTACTGATCTGTGGGAGGAGGGGGGGGGGGGAAGATGTCGAGCACGAGTCAGACGGCCCAGGCATTCCGTGCCTGGCTACTGCATTTCATCCGAACGCGACAAGAATTTTTCCCCTAATCTCGGGGAGGAGAGGGAGGGGGCTGGCATTCCTCAACAAAAAAAGGCCTTGGTTCTAAACCTTGCATATTACGAACCACGAGCTTCAATACAACGACCCGGAAGCTTACACAGAAGGGACCTTAACTGTACACAATCATGAATAAAGACGAAATACAATCAGACACATGATCAACATTCACGATTAATTTTAATTACTTCTAGTGTTAGCCTGTTGAATTCTAACAATTACTCCTATACTGAATTCCGATATTTTGCCTCACAGTCGAAAAAGCGGCCGCTCTTGACCTATACTCTAGAGCTATTTCTTATTTTGTTAACAAACTAATTTGTTGTAATCCATACACCAATAAAAAAAATCAAACAAAGTACTATCTCACCAACACTAATATCAAGCTTCTAAATAACACGCTGTGGTACATTTCTACCGACACCTAATTTGTGTTGTATGTTAAAAAAAGGAGAAGAAAAATACTCATATTTTTTTAAGCATACATTTGTCAAGTGAGTGCAGAAAATAACACTGACAACATACGTATTTCTTTAAAAAAAAGTTAACAAAAACAAAAAAAGCCCATAGTAAGAAAATTTCTTGATTTCATTTCGAGAGCAACAAAGCCCTGTATTGTAAGAAATATTAAACACAAAGCTATACTAGATTAATACTCCTTATAAATTGTCAACTTACTTAAAGCTACTTAAACGCGACCGAAAAATAAAATATTCTCGTCAATTGGAGCCTCCAGTAACCTCTTATTTCGCATTGTTAAGCAACATCTTACGTAAAAATTAACATTAACCCTAAACTCCCAAGACCTCATTGGTAGTTCTCCTTACTGTCTGCCAAACGATTCTTATTATATTAGTTTGGAGAATTTGGTATCGGATCAATTAGTAATTCCATAATTGATATTTTTCTTTATTCTGATCACTTGTCTGCGTGATATTGTATAGATGTAGTAAGGAGAAATTCTGTCTTGGTCACTCACGGGAGTTTAAGAGTTAGGCCCCCTTCACTCCTCTATTCTGCTAACAGATACGCATTGATTTTTTTTCATATCCTTCGCGAGAAATTCGCATCAGTAAGTCCAACATCAAACTTTTAATGATATGGTTAACCTTCACTATATATTTTCATAAGATTTCCATCCAGTCAATAATGTTACCATCTGTCTAAGGACAAATTCAAGTAAAATGACGGTATACACTACTGTCCAGTTAAGCACCGTGCGATATAGTCTATCTGATGGGTTGTTTCTTTCGCGGGAAAAGTTTCGGCCAAACCTTGCGAGCAGACAACCAACCAAATTCAGTAGCTGAATAATCAATACAAGAGACAATAGGACAAATTAGAGGAGGTGGTGGTGGGAGGGGGGTGAGGAGGAGGTGAGGTGGGCTGGAGGACCAAACCCCTCACCCACAATGCTGTCTTTCTCACTGTTTACAAACCGAAAGCGGTGAAAATGACGACGCATTTTCTTATTGACAACGGACTTTCCCAAAATTTTAACCATTCAATATTATTTTAGTTGTGTTACACTCACTAATTTGTGAACATTGTTTCTCCTACACATATTCAATATAAGTGGACGGAACATATCCTTCCTCATCGTCTTTTAACACTTTCGTCCAACCACTGTTATCTGTGTCTTGTTCCAAAACAACCAGCTCATCTCCTTCAACAACGGTGAGTTCACCATCATTTGTTGCTGAAAAAAGAATTGGGATGGCTTAAGTTAAGATGCAAAAAAGAATTGGGATGGCTTAAGTTAAGATGCAAATGTTGAGTTTTCGAAACGCGTTGTTCACAGAGCATCCCAAGGGTTTTAACAACTTTTATCATAAGCGGCTGCCGATTGTGAAATAGGTAGCAACTGGCTTTTATTGAAGCCTTTGCGCATGCACAGCAGTAACCATGTTTTGAGTGGTAGGTACACAGTCAAATGGGAGTTTGATCAACAATCAGACAGTAAAGACGCCAAGTAATACCTAAAGGAAAGAGAAAAGGCTTGTGTTACCTTGGAAATCGTAAATAACTCGACAGTGAGGCTCGTCTTCCTCAAACTCATCATCTTCTTCAACCGGTGGTACTAACATAGCGGGGGGAGGTGCAGGTGCAGGTGCAGGTTCAGGAGGGGGAGGGACATTGGATGGGGCCCCGTCTGGTACACTGCTGCTTGGTGCCGGTGGTGATTGGGAGCTGCCAGTTTTCGAGTAGACCTCAGGAGGCGGTGGGGCATCTCTGTTCTCCAAAGCAGCCAGGTAGCACTAGAAATTAGCATTAAGAGGTTTCATCAAAATTTTGGATCAATGTCGTTAATGGGGTTAATATTGGATTAGGGGAGGGGTAGGTACGCAGTTACTAAGATACTCACATTGATCCAGAAGTATTTTTGCATAACAACCAAAGTATTTTGGATATTTCCAGATATTTAGTATGAAAACTGATCAACCATTCAAAACTCTTTAAACCGTCTTTAAGGTATTTACGGTAATCTCCACCCCTCTAAGGAATCACACTATATCGTTGACAGTATAAGGGAATTCAGGGGAACTTTTGCACTTAAAATTAATTCTCTACAGTGGTTGGGATTCAGTTCATTAAGTTGCTCAAATTTATGAGGGCTTTGGTTTAGAAGTCTCTGCAGCAGAACTCATGTCTAGCAGATATCATCACAGAGCAGTAGTCTCTAAACTGATATTTGTGGAGGGGGGTCTGGTTCAAAGTGTCTGCTGCAGAACTCATGTCTAGTAGATAACATAGCAAAGCAATAGTCTCTAACCTGATATCTGTGGAGGTCAACATTAAGAGCATCCAGCTCCTTAGCATTATCACTGAGGTTTTGTTCAATAGTGGCTGGGTCACCAAGTGAAGGATTCTGCCTGTACACATCAATCATTTTTTCCATACCCTCCCTGAAAAAAAGAAACAAAGGAACAAGACTAAACCCCAGCCAGTGTTCTTTTGAACTTGGAGTAGAGATGAGTACCGCTGAACTGTGACGGAAAACCAATAAAATGTGGCCGACAACTTGTAGAGGACTTCCAGCACACCTTAACCCTTTACACTCGAACATCAGTATGCATATCCTCCACACTGTTCTCTATACATTTCTCGAGGTGCTGACAAGGAGACTTTGTTTAACAGTCAAGAACCTTTTAAGTTGGTGATCATTTCCTTTAGTCTCAATACCTTAATGTGTGATTTGTGGGAGTGATATTGTAGGGAGAAATTAGATGTTAGTCACTTTTAGGGGTTGAAGGGTTAAGGGAATTAAAAAAATTTTGATTCTCCTCGTCCTTTCATCGCAAGTTTTTGTCTAGCTATTTTCTGAAAAGGATAGCAATCTGCTTGTATTTGTGCTCGTCTGTCGATGTTCTCTCTCTCTATCCATTTCTCATTATCCCTCTCTGTATCTCTGTTAGAAGTTCAGTCAGTCACCTTTCAACTCCTTAAATCTCATGAGCAGTTCTTGTTACTGTCTGCCATACGATTTGTATTTTTTATATAGAAAAAAATGGTTATTGAATCACCTTATAATCCCCTGATTAATATTTTTGTGTATTCTTATCTCTTGACTGCTTGATATTGCATTGATATTGTAAGCAAAAATTCTGTCTTGGTCACTCATGGGAGTTTAAGGGTGAAACAGTCCCTCAAGCAGACATTCAGACACTCAGTGAGTCAGTCAGTCAGTCAGTCTGACTATCTATGTCTATCTGTCTCATGGTCCATCCTCCTATAACTTTCTTAATACATTTCTGAGTGTAACAACTTGACACAACAATGACAAACTTCAGGTAACTTTTCTGAACCCCCCCTCTCTCCAGTCCAACACAAAAGTATATAAATCACAATATTTAGAAAAAAAAATACAGAGTGACAACAGGGCTAGGTACCTGGAGTTCTTGAGCTGTGCCACTTGTGCCTCTAACTGCTGCACCTTCTTTTTAGAAGTGCGAATCTTCTGTCCTGGTGTCAATGTTTGATCATTACCATCTAATCCGTTATCAACATTCTGAAGAAAAAGAAAGAAGATAAGGTAATAACCAATCATTGGATGAGGTTGAGCAAGATTTTATGAATTATCAAAACCAACATCTGAGTTATCTGCTGAAATGTGAAGGCTGAGGCAAATAATACAAACATGACATTTGATTCATTCATTCATTTACATATAAGCTGATTTTTAATAATTCAATTCTCTTATAATTGTTTCATTATACACTTTTTAAAAGCATTCAGCCATTTTGAATTCCTCTCTGAGTTTATATAAGTTTGTGAAAACTACATGGACAAGGGTCTTGGAAACAAGGCTGACTCTGAACTCGACATAATAAATACAATATCTCCTGCAGATATTGCATTTATTATGTCAACTACATATGTTCTCTGTTGGTTCCAAATATCAGTGATTCTTAAGTCAAAATTTTGAAGGACTGTCATTAATAAAGGAAAGATCTATAAATACAAATCCTTTGCCCCCAATGACAATCTTCAACAAGCTTCACACACAATTAAAGCTAGGGTTTAGGATAATTTACAACTTTTCTTGTGTTTCAAAGTAAATGTACTACCTGCTGAAAATGATGAAAATGTGATAAGTGCCCAGCCTTGAATAAGCATGCATCTCAAGTAGGCACCCTCTCTCAAGGTCTAAAAATTTGACAAGTAATTATCCCTGGGTGCTTAATTGAATGAATACCATACCTTCAAACCTATTATGAATTTCAAAATTTGCAAATAAACCCACAAAGTGAAAGCAACTAAATTGTTAATTTTGAAGTTTACTGCATTTGACCATTCAATTTCATTTTCAATACTGGTCAATGGCTTGCTTCATACCTTTTTCTTTTTTTTATTTCCAGTAAAGATACTCTTCCCTTTTTTGCCCTTGGTTTCACTAGCAGGCTGTCTGGGGAGAGTGTGTTTGCTGCCATATTCCTCAAACTGGATATCTTGAGGTGGCTTGTACTCAGTTTTATGTTGATCACACAGGAGTTTGCTGTCCTGATGTTGCAAAAAATATCTTTCACTAGGCTTTATCTACATGGATATGGGGGAAACACCTATAGCTAGGTAACCCTGCTTTCTGTTGTTTTTCCTGGTTCTGTTTATCTAAAGGTAAGGAGATGTACTAGGGGTGAGGTTATCTCACTTTCTTGCTGGGGTAATCTTCCTTCAAGGAACAATAGTTTTTGTGTTTGAGCCATGTACAGGTATTAGCCAGGGTCATCTTTTTCATATTATTGAAAATTATCAAATTATCATATTACTGTGTAGCTATGTTCTTCACACTGAATTGCACAATGTAAATTAGCAAAAGACTGTTTGGATCATGTTGGACATCTCTTAAATCTTGAGATCTGAGTGATAATTCTCCCCTCTAGCTGCTACACATTGCCTTGTAAATTAGTTATGAGAACTTGATGTTAGATCAAGACAACAACTTCTACCTGACAAATTTGAGTATTCTCATCACCTGTTTGCTGGATAATACATGAATATTATGGGGAGAAAATACATGTTAATCACTTCCGGGAGTTGAAGAGTTAAAAAGAGATCAATACCTGTTGTCCATTGACTGATTTTCCATTGTCCTTCATGTTATCCAGACATTTTTGTATTATAGGCATAACTTTGGCCTCTATATTTGCATACTCCTCTAATAATTCACCAGTTCTCTTTATTCTTCGCTCATCCATTTTCTGTAGTTCCTGAAGATTTAACAAAGGTATTTAGGGCTATTCAGCTCTAAGAACTAATTAATTTTGTTACTGACTCCTTTCCAAAGTGATACGAAAATCACACTAATGGGATTCCCTTTTCAGTTTCTGGAGCAACTTACTTTCCTGTTGTGACCTCTTAACATTCTACACTCTAACATCAGTATGCATATTCTCCATACTGTTCTCTATACATTTCCTAAGGTGCTAACAAGGAGAATTTGTTTAACAACAAAAATCTCCTTAAGTTTGTCATCATTTCTTTTAATTCTCCAAACCTTAATTTTAATTCAGGGGTTATATTTTAAGGAGAAATTAGATGCTAGTTAAAGGATTGACAAAGATCTTTTGTTACTCCTCACAAGGGAAGACAGCTGAAGTAAGAGTATTCCAAAACACCAGTTGATTACAAAATGTGTGTGAGTAGCAAGCGGCAAGGGCCTGATTCAGACTTCAACCTGCCAGTTTAGATTTGAACTCTTGTTTGTGTTATTGTGTTGTGCTCTGAGGTGAGAGACCAACATCCTCTTCACACAAAAAAGCACTTGGTCACTAGAAGACTGCCCCAATTTGAGTTACAGCAAGCTCCGTGCTTGAGGGATTCTGGTTTAGCAATGCAACGTGGTAGAGGATTTTTAAGGGACTTGCACAGGACAAAATTCAGTTCATGCAAAAATATGTCAATGAATTAAATTGCAATAATCAGAAGCAATTAAAAACTTCTATATTCCTAAACTTTTTGATAACTATTATTGTATCTATCTATTGCCATACTTAAGTTGAATCTAACATTTAATATTAAGTATCATTGTGCCATAGAAAATTTAGTTTCTGACATACGTACATCGAACACCGCTGGCATTTCATTGCTGTAGTGTAAGGCTTGCTTGCTATTTGTCTGTTGAAGTTGGTTTCTGTATTCATCCTTTGCCCTCTCACATGCCTGGCCCTTCTCAACCGATATATTTTTGTGCTAAAATAGCAAAAACATCACAATCAGTTTATTATAATTTGTTTGGAAAATATATATGCTGATGTAAGGGAGTATAATTATTTGCTTTCCTTCCTTAAACTATACTTAATTTTATAAATGATGCTCTCCTTCTCAAGGGAAATTGTTAACATCCATATGCTACACTTCATGGTATAGAAGTCAAAATCATAATTTCTGTTAGCCAGTTTTAAACATCAGCCCACATGATGTGAAACTGAATATTCACACAGCTGATACTTTAAATGAAGAGTGGTTACTCCCAAAGGAAAAAATGAGTTATGGTCAAAATATTCCATGAGTAGAAGTGTTCAAGTTGCGAACTGTTTCTTAGAAAAACAGCTCCCTGGATTTTTGTCCAGACTTTGAGTAGATAGCATTTTTTCCACAATAATAGCTCAATTGATAAATTAGGACCTGTTCTATGGAGTGATAATGGTTAAAACTGTACAACTTTATTTCACCTTTTCAATCTGCAATCTAGAGTTAGCCATGTCTTGATCAGCTTTCTGGAATGCTTGAAGGGCTTGCTCAGCTTCTTCACTTGCCTTCATATAAGCTCTTTTACTCTGCAAGGGGCAGAAATTGTTATTTATAACAAGTGGCTTAAGCTATTAATTTAAACAACACCCTAAACTTATAATAACTATCCCTCTAACTCCTATGAATGACCAAGACAGAATTTCTCCTTCGAATACCCATACAATAGCAAGCAGATAAGTGACGAGAATATAAAAAATATCAATTAGGGGATTATTAGTTGATCCAATACCAAATTCTTCAAAGTAACATACTAAGAATTGTATCGCATGCACTATGGAGAATCACTAAATAAATGATATCTTGTGAATGAAAGGGCTGATGCCACTAATACTTACAACTTCCATAGCTTTTATTGACTGTTCTAGTTGTTCTTGAACTTTTTTACCATCAGACAGATGCTGGAAATTACAATAATCATAAAAATAGATTTTAATAAGTCAAGTCAATGAGCTTCCAACAGTACATTTCTAGACCTATTTGCAAATGCATTTTTCTTTAACAACACATTCCACAATCTTTTTGAAAAGTTTTTTACCTATCACTAACTCCAAAATGAGCAATGACACTGACAGAATCAAAACAAAGACTTAAGTTTTAAAACGTATTTTCTTGAAAATGAATCAGTTACATGTATGCAATGCTCTGTTTCTAGTATAGGCAGCTGGAAGTGGAACCTTTTGAAGACTGATGTGAATAGCATTAATTCTGTCAATTCCATGAGCATTTGAGGAGTAAAAATAAGTATCATCTTAGTCTCTGAGGAAGAGACTCCTACTTGCTGAAAAAAAAAATGGAAAACAAAACACCAAAAAAAAAAGTAAAAAATAAACAAGCAATTCCAAATTTGTTCTTGTAATTGCTGCTGGCCTATTGATACAACCTATCATGTTTTGTTACAAATTGCAATTTTTACTCCCAAGAACCTCCAAAAACTTATAAAAAAAAGGAATCAACATCTACAGCGTAAAAAGTTTCACCTTTCTTCTCTCTGTCTTAAGTTCATTATGCAATAAATGTAATTCCTTCCAAATCTTTTCAGTTAAACTCTCTGATATCAGCTCATGCTGTCCTGCCACATCATCTGTCTCTTTCACGACACCAATGAAAGCCTTTTGAAAAGTAAATCTGTAAAATGAAATATTAAATTACTTATTTTTGCTGATAATCATGAAGTTAAACCTGTATGAAGCAAACACAACACCTGATATCAATCCTACAACCCCCTGAGTTCACCCTTAAACTCCCAAGATCTCATTAGCAATTCTCCTTACTGTCTGCCATATAGTTCTTGTGATGGTAGTTTAGAGAATTTGTTATTGGATCAAGTAATAATCCATTAATTGATATTTTTCTTTATTCTCATTACCCATCTGCTTGACATTGTATTGATACTGTAAGGAGAAATTCTGTCTTGATTACTCTTGGGAATTAAAGGGTTAAAGGGTTGATATCCGTTGATATCAATACAATATCAAGCAGACAAGTGACAAGAATAAGGGAAATTACAACATAAATACCAAGTGAGTGTTCACATGAAAACATGATATCTTCACACATGAAGTACTTTTAAAAACATTTTTAAGTGAAATGATTGGTATTTCATTGGTGCTCATATAATAAATAAATAAATAGAATATCAAATGGCCACTTGGAGATATGAAATTTAGCTTCTCGTGTTGAAAATATTTCAGTACATTTTTTAACACTCACAGAGAAATTTTGTATCTCTTCATGGCCATGCTATATCCTTTGTAAGTCAATAAGGGGATTATTAATTGATCCAAAATAAAAATTGCAAAACAGTGTAAAACTTAATGGGTAGAAAGCAAATGATCACTTGGGAGTAAAGGGGTTTGGTGGAAATCAGCCCACATCTCAAACACATCTTTGTCTTAAGTCACATTTTGAGGTACAAGGACACCACTGTTATTTGGATGATAATCCAAAATACAGCATCGTTCTCATTAAAAACCTGTATAAAACAGACAGCTTCATGTGAGATTAACATGTCATTTCAAATCCATTACAGTGTAAAATGGTCAAATTGTATAATGTCAAATGGTAAAAAACTTGCAGATTCAAAAGTTCACTGACTGAGTGATAAGTCAGGCTGTCAGAGCATAAATGTTCACCACAAGCCATGATCCCACAACAATTCTTCTTTTAACTATTTCAGTTGTTCAATTTATAGAAACCTTTTCTCATAAGACATTAGTAGAAGTCTAATGGCTGTCTTCTTCAACATTTAAGTAGTGGAGTATGCAAATGTAGAGGCCAAAGTTATGCCTATAATACAAAAATGTCTGGATAAAGGACAATGGTGAATCAGTCAATGGACCACAGGTACTGATCTCTTTTAACTTGTCAACTCTCAAAAGTGATAAACACATATTTTCTCTCCATAATATCTAAGCATCATCCAGCAAACAGGTGATGAGAATCATCAAACTGTTTACACTAAGGTAAAGGCTGTTAGCCTGATCTAAACCAAATTCTTGTAACAAATTTACAAGGAAATATAGTGCATTTAGAGGAGAGAATTAACTATCAGATCTTGTTAGTCAATGGGTGAACATGATTTTATTTTTAATTCCTTCTGATAAATATCATAGTATGAATCTATGATTTATACTGTCAAGTATAAGATAACATGATGAGATCTGGTGCAAACTATGGTACAAATGATCTACGGCTTTCATAAACTATAACAATATATGTAGCAAGCTTGTGACAAATGATAGATACAGAATTTTGGATGCACAAAAATTATCAATTGTATTGTGGTATTATGACAATCCATAGTTAACTCTCTACACCCCAACATCATTATGCATATTCTCCATACTGTTCTCTAAAAGATTCCTGTGGTACTGACAAGGAGAATTTGTTTAACAACCTAGAGCTTTTTTAACAGGTGATCTTTTCCTTTATTCTCATGAACTTAATGTTTGATCCAGGGGTGATATTATAACAAGGAAATAGATGCTAGTCACTTTAAGGGATTGAAAGAGGAAAAAATGAAGAGTCAACTCACATATGTTCATCTTCCTTCTTCTTTGGGTTGAATTTCTTTACCAGTTGTCTGTGAAGTTACACAAAGTAGTTTAAAATGTGAGTCTAAACATTAAGAACAATGATTATCTAATAAACGTTCCTCCCACTGCTTGAGAAAGGAAACTAATTGTTTATACATACATGTATTACACCAAGTTAAAAGAATTGGACATGAAAGTCATAATTTATTGCTAATCCTACAAGGGATTCAAAATTCTCTTAATAATTTTGTAGGTCTTTCTAACCAGTTCTTAACCATTTCTTAAGAACTACAGAGTACATATAAATTTTTTTTATATAAGAATATATCTTTACTTTGAAAATTTCAATTTACTGTCAGAGAAGAAAGTTGATGAGGACTCAGACAACTGTCAACCCGGACAAAGAAATGAAAGTTCCTCATTGCATGAAGAAGATTGGGACTAAACTTGTATCATGTGATAAGAACTTTTGTAACTCTATACATGAAAGAAATAATGATTGTGTATGATTTTGAATTTTTAATAGCAGAGAAATGGAGACAGGAGAATCCCTGAAGATTGCTAATTTTCAGGTCTAGTAACTGAAATGATTAAGTATTTCAATGCAACCTACTGTGAAATTATGTTTGGGTTTGCATTGTGTCACGATGGAATATTTTGAAATACTTCTTTTGATTTGAGTAATTAATGCTGAATTCTTCATGAGGAAATGAAATACGGATAACACAATGGGCCTCTGAAACTGAGTGTCAATATTACGTGATGTCAAGTGACTCCACTGAAAAAATAAACAGCTCTTTCTTCAAAAACAAAAATCGAGCGAATCCTTTTTGATAATGTGGATTTTGAATTAAAAGTTGATGTGGTTGTCAATGTTTTAAATATCTGACAACTGTCCCTGTTAAAATTTGAGGTCGAAAAGTGAAATTCGATGACTGAAAATCATTAGTTTGTCGTTCTAAACTACGGCAAATAATCAATAAACGTCATAAATATGGTTTTCTGTTTCGATCCCTGCAATTTAACAGATGGTCTCCTTGATCCTGAATTAAAAGTATGTTCTAATCAGCGAAAGTAGAAACACGGATAGTATTTCTCAAGGACAGCGACACGCAGTAAGAACAGTCATGCAAGCGCGGAAGAAAAATTTGAGCGTATATGATTATTATAAAGGATGACACCAATCAGCTGTCTGTTAGGAAACATGCTCAGAGCAACATAGAAGAGATCCACATGAAACTCACCAAAAATGCCAAATTGTTTACACATATTTTACACTTAAGCTCCAACGGAGTCAAGTAATAATTTGATGGTACAAGGACAATATACCAGTCATTCTGTTACGACATATAAAGAATTTCGATTTCGTAAAATGAAATTCCTTTCTCTCTTACCGTAAGTCCCTCGCATACCGCGATTCGATTTCACACCTTTCCTTCACGAACTTCGCTACCTTTTCCACGAAATCGATTCCAGAAGACGTATGGTTGGCAATGAGATCAAACTGATCCTAGAAACCATAGAGAAAATGTGCAAGTGTTAGTTTCATCGCAGGAGAATGTTGAATATCGCGCAGTTGAATCACTGATGTCGGACAATACCAGAACACAAGCTGCGACAAGACAAGCGAGCACTCAAGCCCTTGATCACTTACCCAAAGCTCTAAACCCCAGGTCATTTTAACAATCAATACAACGAGACTTCAAGAAATGTCCGTAATCTACAGATCTAGAAATGAAGCCAGACTACCTCGCGTATACTCGAACGTACTACATGTCAGGATGCGATGGCACTCTCATTAGCATATGGAGAACCGGAGGTACAAGAATGTGCGGGCTCATACAGCTTGGGTGGGTGGAGCCACCGGAAAGAGCTCCACGAGGTACCAAAATTGATCATTTTGGTGAAAATATGACTATTTATACTGTCAAATAAGGCGCTTTTACCCCAGTCAAAGGTTAATTTACTGACCTTTCAAGGAATATGCAAGCTCTATTCTATATTTTAATCAAGAACTCCGCAATTTTCTTAAATCTTTCCGCAGATCTGAGTTTTAGCGACACCTCTCAATGGCGGAACCTCTACGCGGAGACGGAAATTAAGGAAGGAGTGGGTCTCGAAATGAAAGACGTTTGGAAGTGATGGAACATTCAAGAGGGAAAAAAACATATCGCAAGAAAGAGTTTATTTTCTTAAGTTTTACTACACCATTTCACTTTTTGTAAAGCAAGTAACAATCACGCAATTGGGTATGTATGTATTTAGTCTAAGACTCTCTGGAAGTTTTCAGAGCGATCGTAAAGAACACCAATACATTTCAAGATTTACTAGAAATCTTTCAAATATTTGTCACCTTTAACATGCGAATTTGCCCTCAAAAACTACGCTTTACAGCCTTTTCTTAGCTTTAAATATTATCTTTCGAGTAACAAAAAAAAAAAAAAAAAGGGGGGGGGTTTGGTACAAACCTGGAGCTACCAATCGTTACGATTTTCTTCGATTTAAAGTGAAAGGTAAGCTGTAAAAACAGCTAAAGCTCATCGACTGATTGATTGAATTTAATTTTCTTGTTCCAATATGCCTTGATATCCAACTCTTACTGGTCAGACTAATCCTGTGCCTGCCTGTAAAAGGTCCACTGTTGTGGGAAGTCCTTGTTGTTAGCCTGGCTGATGGACTTGGGACAAAAAACTAATTTTTGAGTTGCAGGTAACACATTCCATGTTGTGATGAAGGCTGCTGCTGAAAAGAATCTGTTAACTGTAAAGGATACCTGAAGCTTTTTCTATGTTTTTTTGGAATTGTTATTTTTTTGTACTTATCTTTTTCTTGAAATATTACTTTTTATTGATATCATTACCATTTCTCATAAGTAGTGGTAATAGTCTTAAATTTCATAAGATAAAAATCACATACGATATCTTGTTGCAAAATAAAATGATAAAAAGTTTTAAAAGGGTAAAAAATAGTTGAAACTTGTAAAAAAGGCTAAACTTATGGCACTACCTTGTGTTGGAAAATTTGAAAATTATTTCAGATACGAGAACTCGCACAGACATATGTGGCCAAATGATATGCAGAGGATGGTATCACACTTAATTCGTTCCTAAGGGGGACACACAGTGCACATGGACAACAGGAGGACAACCTGTGGTGTATGGGTTTTAATATTTAACAAAAGTTAGCTGAAACCCCCACTAATTATTCAACAATGTTCACCGAGCCTGAGGCAAATAAGTGTTGTGATAGGAAAAACATTCTCTTCCTTTGCTTCCAATTTGTGACACACCAAGGAAATGAACATGTGGATTCTGGTGAGTAGACCACATGTTCAATCTGTGAACTGCACATGACAGAACCAAAAACTGAATTTAACCGGACAACATGTAGTGAATGTGTCAATGTACATTTCAAAGAGAGTTTTATGGGTTAATCTTCTAAAATAAAGACAATAAAGGCTAGTTCAGTCTGAAAATGCCCCTGCTTTTTTCTTTTATTATTGAGAGTAAGTGATGCAAGTTTACTAGACCAGTCACCAAGTTGAGCAAGGCAAAACCTATGCAACCTGGGTTTACTTTCAACACTAAATTGAAAATTGATCTAATTCAAGTGAAGTTAACTTAAGTGCAGTTTGCATGTACATCATATTACCAGATCCTAAAACAGTTGCATGCATTTAAAATCTATTTTTGATAGTATTAAGATGTGCTTGTGCTGCTGCACTATGATCACTTTGAACTAAGTAATTGAAGCATGATATAGTGCAATCCTCAAACAATCAGAGCAAGTGCATCTCTGAAATCAAACAAGCAGTTATACTGATATAAATAAGGATAGGTGCAAATTGAAAGCAAACCATGCATCTTTTATAGCCGCATGAATTCAAAATCTCTTTTATGGGATAGGGGTATTCTTGTGACTGTTACACTGGGTTTAAAGTAAAATGCATGACTTTTAGCCAAGCTGAGGTCAATTTGCTGTGTTCTTTGGGTTGGAGGCTTTATTTCCACAATATTTCTCCTCAACCTGAACCAGGGACATAATCTGCTGCTCAACACCCAGTGATGGACTTGTACTATTATAGTAATAATCACTTCATGTCAGGCAAAAATCATTGGGCACTCAGCCTTTTGATCCATGCTTGTGAAAAAAGCTAGCTACATTGAGAACTCTATTCATTAATAAATAAATTCTGTGTTGAAATATCCCTCCCAATTCCTAGCAAATGATGAACTTACTTAAAAAGTAAAACTGTGGGCAAGAGCACTAATGGTAAAGAATTACAATTTTAATACTGTCATTGCATATTAAAATTTTTCTTATCATTATCATTACTACTATTACAATAATCATCACACTCACTATTACAACCACTATCATTATTTTATGGGCCTGAAGTCAAGATTCCTTACTAAAGCCTCTTAAAAATCTGAGGTACACTGATTAACATCAGCCTTCCACCCCTCCCACCTTGTAAGATGTCTGATCTCAGAAACTTTGGTATGTACTGTGGAATGAACACCTTCAGGGAAAATTAATTTGATATGGTGAAACACTGTGCCACACAGTGGACTTTTGAGTCCAGCATTAATATTAGAATATCCTGAACTTTAGTTGAAAGGTCTGGATTTTCATTCTTAACACTTAACACCATAACACAGTATTCATAACCTCCACACTGTTGTTTTACATTTCCTACTGCACTGACAAGGACAGTCAGGAACTTCTTGAATGGTAATAATTTCCTTTACTTTCATAACCTTCACATTGAAAATAGGCCACACTGTCCCTGGAGAGGCAGTATTCCTGATAGGGTTTATTCAGGAACTGCACAAGCTCTAGGAACTGTGCAAGTCAGTCCAGTATGCTAAATTGAACAGAAAAATGTCCCAAAGAAGGGGCAAAAAAGTTTTTCGTCAATCATGTTCAGCTTGCTTAACAAAATTGCTAAAAAAGAAAATGGTATGTTTCAAAAATTTTTTTAAGCACTGAACACTTGCTTTGATAATAAAGTTGTACTTTAAAAAGGAAGGTTATAATGAAGGACTCCATACCAAACTTATTTTAGTTAGAAAGGCTTTACAAGTCATGAGACACACTAGCCTTTTGATTAAGAGTCCATTGTTTGAGAGCCTGGATTCCACCTACTGTCAGCACACAGTGTTCCTCCACAAATCCTTCAGGAAGTGGTTTGTGAAGTCCAATGGCCATACTGGCCTTCAATGCAACACTGCCGTCAAAATTAACAAAACACAAGCGAACAGTGAGTTCTGTTGAAGGTCTAAGGAATGCTGGACCTCCAGGCATGAGTGCGACTGACACCTCTTCAAAGATTGCATCACACATTTGCTGTGCAGTGGTGATACCCCGATTGGAAAGTGCACATCTGATGACTTCAAAATCAGGGAACATGTAGAAGCCACCCTGAGGTTTCACAGCTCTCACCCCTACTTCTGTAAGGTGCTGATAACTATAATCAGCTATGGCTGCCAGGATGCGGCATTCATGGGCTATGTAAGCTTTTGACTCTTTGGATGGAGTAAAGCAAGTTACAGCAGCATACTGCATGGGTGCAGCCGCACATGAGTAAGAATGGCTTGCAGCACTTTTGACAGCATCTAACAAGGGTCTCAATTGAGCTGGGTAGATCTGATAGCCTACCCTCCAACCACCTACACTGGCCCACTTAGACAAACCTGAACTCAGAATGGTTCCTTCTGGATAAAACTTTACCAATGAACAGTGAGAGTCTGCAAAGTTCAAACGTCCATAAATCTCATCGGACAGTACGATGGCATTGTGTTTTATAAGGACCGGCAGTAATTCTTTCCAGTGTTCCTGAGTGTAAGCAGTTCCCGTAGGATTATCGGGGTTGACCAAAACGATGATTTTGTTTTTCGCGGATGATCGGCTAAGAGCTCGATCTAATATGTCCGGAGTGACCCGCCAGTCGTGCCGATACTCAGTTGTAATAACTATGGCATCGTGGTGCGCAAGGCGAGCTTGGGGCTTGAATGTTGTCCACGTAGGAGACAAAACAAAGACATCACCACTGAAAACCGCGAGGAGGAGGAAGATCAGTTCCTTAGAGCCTGGTCCAACAATAACGTTGTCTGGCAAAACTTCAAAACCGTCAAATTCTCGATGAAATTCACAGATGGCGTTCCTCAGCTGCGAGATTCCAGCCACGGGAAGGTAAGCATTCTTCTCGGCGTTCTGTGCGAGAACCAAGCGAGCTGACTCCATTACTGGAAATGGTGACTGACCGAACGCTAGATGATATACTGGCTTTCCAGATGCCATAAGCTCTTTCACCTTCTCGTTCAATAGTAAGTTTGAGGCAGGAGCGTAGTCGTAAAGATCCGACCTGACGAGATCCGACCTGACGAGATCCTCACTGACTCTAGCCATAGTTCTTAATTTTTTGGTCGGATAACTTCAAGTCAAATCAATGTTCCTTGCAATGCATCGTGGGAATGTTTCTAACCCTATTGAGAAGAACGTGTTGCTCAGTTGCTATTTTCATTAAACAGTGGTTAAACCTCGCTGTGTTGCATGGAGTGTGGATGATAAAGTTTCTTTTTTAGGTTACTATGGATGCTCCGAAACAACAGAGGTGGTTAAATGGTGGTAGTAACCTTGCCCGTGGACGCCGAGCTCCTTATAATTAGTTTGCATCGCTCGTCATGGTAAGGCGCACAACTATCTTTTTAAAAACAACCTTGTTCTAAACACAGCAAAGAGGATTGACCAGCGCCCTGCTTGAGTGCATACTTATTTCGACAATTTTACTGAAGTTGTGATTTGTTCTTTAGGTAAACCCGACTCGTATCATTTTCACCAAGATCATTCCTTACGTTCAAATTGACTATTCTAGAAACTCACGAGATGTGGAGACAAAGAAAAGAGCTTAGCAGCGATATGTGCAACTTATTAAACAACGGAGACAGGAACAATTACTTGTGCTTCTTCATGTTCGGTTTACTACAACGCCGTAACAAATCTTATGGGTGCTGAAGCCACGATTCGGCTAACTGCAGAATAACCTGCTACTCAGTTACATGTCATTGAATAATAATAGATTCTATTGTGCTATGCCTCGTTCTTGAAAGCCACACGACACATGTAAATGAGGTGGATCAAAGTGGCAGGGCATTCCGCAATTACTCCGAGAAATCTGTACAGGCGACCAAGGTCAAGATTCTCTAACACGGATTGACCTTACTCTAAATGATGATATTGCCAAATAAAGAGGGAATATTATTATTGTGCTGACACTTCTGCATGTTGACGTTGTGACGTCACTGGTGTGATGTTGAGGCTAACCAGAGGGCCATTTTCTTGTTCTCGCGATCCAAGCACAAGAACTAGGCTTGGTGCGAAGTTGCCTTCTCGAGCCCAGGGTCATTTTGGCTCCTCGTGAGTGGTATGGTCATGGGGAATTATTATCCACAATACATATTATGTCCATATAATGTCCTATAATAATTTCTCATACATGATTTACCAAGGAATTTGGCGACCATATCACTGACAAGGAGCTAAAATGACCCTGGGCTCGAGATTGGTCGGTGTCAAGAATGAAGAGTTGTGGTAGTGGAAAATGTGGGAGAGAGGTAATCACTTAAGTGAAAGCAGAAAAGGAAAGAAAAAGGCAGAACTGATCGATCTATGCAAGAAGGTCGCCGGAAAGAAGCAGAAGACCTGACGTTCTAGAGCTCTTGTTTACATAATTTATCCATTGCTTTTTTTTCCTGCTGGTTCGTAGCGAGAGCTTATATGGCAGTGGGTTCATCAAGAATCTCGAATTCCTCTTAAAACCCATCGGCGTTTATTTTCTGTAAATGTGCTCTACTGTTTGTGCGACTCGAAGTACACGAGACAGAAGCAAAAATCTCAGTAGAATTGTAAATGAACTTTACAGTTCGTACGACTCGGAGTACACGAGACAGAAGCAAAAATCTCAGTAAAACTGTGAATGAACTTTACAGTTCGTACGACTCGGAGTTCACGAGACAGAAGCAGAAATCTCAGAAGAACTGTGACACGAAACCTCAAGGGCTTCCATTACAAAGACTAAAGTTACGAAACCCTACAAAAATTCTTTAACCAAATGACTATATCGTCACGCAGTTCTAAGTAACACAAGTCTTAGTTCACTCTGTTACACTTTCTTTAATTTACGAATGACACCAAACGAAACAAAATTGAAATATGTAATTTGCGAAATGAACTCGAAATATCTGTAATTTGCAAACAAGAAGTGCGCAAAACTATGGCCACCGGCGGGAAGACTCAACCGATCAATTCACTATAAATGTGGATTACAGCAATTTATAACAACTAGGAAAAGTGCCAAAGGAAAATCTTCGTTGTGTACTTTGCGAAATCTTGTACGTTTGCGATGAATTATCGGAATGCGTGACGCGACACTTTCCCCGAATTGAAAGCGTCACGCATTCCTCCTCAGCAGTAATCTCATTCCATTGTCCTTTTTTTACAACAAAAATCTTCGATGATGGCGTGAAAGCAGAAAAAAAGTTTAGGTTGGGGTTAAAGTATTAATAATAGTTGATATTATTTGCGAGGTTGCGTATGAAATCTATGCATGTGGTGAACTGACCGATCCATCCTTTCAGCCGGTGGAATTCACTGAACTGATACTCGTTTCGCAAATTACAGATTTTCTTTCAGCAAATTACAGCTTTCCATTTCGTTTTGTTTCGTTTCGCAAATTACAAAAGCCCTCGCTTCGAATCCGCAAGAAAAAACAACAATGTAAACAAATATGACATAAAAGCAACTGAGGTCAGAGAACTCTGGAGAGTCAGAGAAGTTGAACGCCCAAGCATTCAAAATTTTAGGTATTGGAAATATGCCCTCACTTGTCTGTAATTTCTCCTCAGACAGCTTTTTGCTTATTGCGATCTTCGGTATGAGAGGCTAGTTTGATTTGTTTCTTTGCTGCAGCTTTCATGCATGTATTAACCACTTTTTTTCTTTCCTTTGCCGCCATTATCCATCACGCCATCAAGTAACTAAATGCCTTTCTCCCACAAATATTTTTTCACTCTTCCACACTAAATTTCGGAAAATTTCGGCATATTTTCACTGCCACGGCTATTTACTCTTCCTCACGCAGTAAATTCGGCACGTTATCGTGTGCGCTGAATCGCAAGTTTTGAGGATTTTCCGAATCGATATTGATACTTTAACGTGATTTGAATTACGAAATATAAGGTTATCAAGCACTGTTAAGTTAAGCGGTCTTCAACATGAGGCCTTTTCTTATGTAGTAAACCTAGAAATGAATAACTCGCCAAAATCCATGGGTTCTTTCCAACATAGTAAGCGATCTTACTATTATATTGTTTTTTTCTCTCATATTCATGTGCATGTCGGTATTTATCCATTGTTCATTAGTCTTTTTGAACATGTTAATTTGTTCCACTTATTAGAATTCATTGATTACCGGATAGCCAGATTACCTTCTGAGATTGTTACATGCACTTTCTTCTTTTTTAGGACAACTTTTCTGCAAATGGCTGTATACATACCAACGATACTGTCTGCTTTGTGAATAGTACTTGCTATTCTCTTCTGAACTAGCCAATCAGCCCAATCAGCACGATTCACTTATGTATACATATGCCAATTAACAATTTTTCACTGGTGCATATTGATGAATATTTAAAGTGGTGAGGTAATCCACTGACATGAAGATCAATAATTCTTTTTTCTTAGGCCTTATATACAGCAATCTTGCATCGCACTTCGCACTCTTATCTGTTTTAAAACTAACATACACGTAATTTCCTCAATTCAGATTTCAGATCTGACCCTTGTTAAAAATAGTCCTTATTTCCAACTGACCAGCCATATTATGATTAATCCATAATTTTTATTGCTATTGAACAAAAAAATAAAAATAAAATTTCCCCTTGTGACCAAAGTGAATGAAAAATTCATACTTAATTGAGCACAACAGATGTACTGCATGACTTTTGAGAGGGGATTCCCCAATAAAAAAAATCCCTTTCATAACATTTGTGCATTTAGTCCTTGTGGTTGTTAAGGTCCGACACAGTTTTTTTCATGTTCAAGTATTAGCTGGGGTAAAATTAACTACAAGCCTCGCTGGCAGAGGCAGCTGTTTTTCCTCAACTCAGAACGTCAGATCAAAGCAGCATCTTGACTGCATGACTCCCCAAGACTGAACTACAGCATTAGAGTAAACAACTTCCTCAAACAGCATATACACCATGACTTTACCACAAAAGCACATTCAAGAAAAGCATAGAAGAACCGTACCCTGCTTTTAATAAACCCCAGTGTCTATTTGTAGCGTAAATTCGTACAGTCTATAGATTGTGTTAGTCACATATTACGCCGTTATATATCTACGATCCCCACCCTCCTTTGTGATACTAAGGGCAAGGAAGATGAGATTCTCACTTGGATCCAGGCTTAACAGGTCTTAGGCTTTTAGTGCTGCGTATATGTCTGGGTTGAAGTTTACTGTAAAGTTTTTAATCGACCCAATTTTCCTTGAAACAGAGTAACCGTGAGCTTTAAGATTCTTATAGGACTTAAACTTCTCCGCCGTGAAATCGCCAGAACTACTCCTGAGACAATGCAAAACATCGCCGTAGCTCATTTGAGGCCACGGCAACGGCGAATCCGACCTTAATTTCTCTTAGTTCTAAACCTCGTTAAAGTTTCGGACCTCGTCAAACCTCGTTCAATGGAAACTTTTAGCTTCTCAAAAGGTCTCCGCCACAAGCTCTTCGCCCTTCCGTCGCCATATCCCGTCATGTCATATGATCTTTCGCATGCGCAGCACGATGTAAACGAAGACCTGACTTCTCGCGGTTAAAACTGGAAACGAAATGATACTCCGGGTTTCGAGCAGCTAGGGTTCTCTAGGGTTCTCTGTGATGTAGTTCGTACCCACCATTTTTGTGTCATGGATTGGGTCAATCGACAAACAGCCCATGAACGCCCTGTAAGTGGACTTAATCTTTTTTTTTTTTCTGTCTTTTGTTTTTTTCCTAAAAATGGGATAAACTGCAAGTCATGTTGTATGCAGTGTTAGTAATGGTATTTTTTGTGTACGTCGGCCATCTTACTTATATTTGTTTCAATTATATTACTATTTATGTCATGGGTTGTTATTAAAATCGGGGCCAGTCCTTTATTTGTGATCCTGGCGTCATTTTCTGTTGATGTTACAGGATTTATTGGAGTGGAGAAAGCGTCAAGGGAAGGCAGCATGGTATGGCCTTTGGTCAATAATAATAGGTAAGCTTGTACAAGCAAGCCTCTTTATATATAATTTTTAAACTTAAGAATTCTGATAAAAGTTTTGTTCTTGTGCATATCTTACCTAAAGAAGAGTTAGTAGAGGGAATTAGTCCGTAAAAATCTTCATGACGCAATAGATGTTGCACTTGTTGATCAGTTTTGAGGAACAGTTAATTGTTTTCCACCAATCAAAGATAATGGACAAGGTTGCTTTTGAGAAAACTGTGATCTGTTGGTAGAAACCTTTGCAGCCAAAGACTGAGGCTAATGATTGATCTGTAAGGCACTGATAAATGACATAACCTGTGGTGTGTGCTTTTGATCACTGAATTTTCTTTGTCAATAAACATTTTAAACAGAACCTAGTACTGTAGGATCATGGAGTAACTTCTGAGAACAGTATATATATTTAGTATATGCCACGCAAGTGAATAGTGCTTTTTGCACATGCTGATTGGCAAGTTGAGAAGTGAATAGGAAGTACTATTCACCTCTAAGGAGTGGATGAGACAAAATCGCATATCAAAAGATTAATTTTCTGACCATTTTTCAGTATAGTGATGCAAATAAGCTAGTTTTTCATATCTGTGTTGTTTATTATAAAACAATTATTCATCCTGATGCAGTGTCTGTGAAAGTGGTGGATATTTACCTTGCAACTTTGGAAATATGCACTATTATTATCCAACTGCACAAAGTAGACAACAAATAATGGGTGAATAGAGTACAAATATCCTGCGATATTGGATGGTTGTTTGGACAGTTGGTTATTTTGTACTGAAAATAAGCCTGTTTAACCAGTCAGCTGTGTGTGCTACACTTCTCTATCTACTTTGCTTTTCCTGCCTTATGAGAAGTGAGCAGAAAGACTTAGCAGAAAAAAAGCGGTTGGATAATAAATAACTTATTAGACGTTTTGGTGTTTAGTATCGCTGAGTATTTCTACTTGTTTGTATTTTGAGTCACCCTACGTGCTTGTTAAAATATGGCACAACTTGCAAGAATACTCGGCAATACTACACACAAAAATGTCTTATAAGATACATCTAGTTACCTCCACCTCGGTGAATAATTATTGTTGAATATTATGACAAATGTGCTGATGAGACAACATCTATTGGCACATACTAAACATGAATGTCTGATTGTCCACCTGGTTGCCGTGTGAACTTTAATATATTTCATGAATGACATGTATTGAATATCTTATGCAGTGCAAGAAGTGAAGGAATCTCTTCTTATATTGATATGGACAGAAAGCTGCAGAAATTTTGCCCATTTTGGAAATCTGTTCCATTTCTGGTGTAAATTTGATTGTTTCTTTTAGAAGGGGGCCAGACTCAGATACCCCCTCACCTCTACCAGTAGAGGTGAGGGGGTGGTACTTCCTCAATATTACTTTTAGTGGTTTTGTCTATTTAGTAAGTACATACAGAATTATTTCTTTGTTTCAACTTTTAGGTAGTAGCGTGACTTTTTCAGGCCTTTCGTTCTTCCGGCTGCAAATACCCAAGAAGTACATTCCACTTTTGTCTCTAAGTATGTGTTAATATAAGGGTTTTATCGATATATGAGATATCAAAAGTTCATTTTCCTTTTATATCATGACTGAAAATTCACTCTGATGTATATATAATACAGTTGTATACTCACAAGAGCGACAAAATTGGAAGAATATGGGTGTGATTTCATGAAAAGCATCATTTGCTTATCATAATAACAGAAAAAGCACACATTTAAGTTGTACTTAGTTTGATTTGAAACATTCTCAGTAATTTCTTGTTTCACAATATTATATAAAGTTGCAGATGTTCTATGCAAATTACTTTTCAATCCTCATGAACTTCCATTCCAACAAAATGATGAAGTTTAATCTAAGATCCAAGTGCTGTTTGCCAATGCTGGTTACCATTAACTTTGTCACTCAGTGTAACAGGCTGTGTTCAGGCATATCTTAAAGATGATTCTGTCTATGGAATGTCATTTTCCTCTTTTATTAGAAATGCCTCCCAGCATATCAGTTCTGTTCTTGAATGTGCTAGTCAACTGAAAAACTTACTTTAGTGTGTTTTAGGTAGAAAACCCCATGAGTAAAGGGTTTCTTTTGAGCTCAGAACCTCATTTATTCCCGTAGTTTTAACCCAGATTAAGAATATTAAAGAAATCACTGGACATAAACAACTTTTATTTCTGAAAAGGTACTGCTCTAAGCATGAAAAATATTTTTTCCTATATTTGAAGTATATTCATTTGTCTCATAATGTAATCACATCTGACATGGATCAGAATTGTTTACAATGTGAGAAAAATGATTACACTTCATGTAAAAATGTAGTCATTAAATTGATTTGGCACAGCCTTTTTTTACTTTTCTTCCTTTAAGATTGACATTCTTTTTTGTTTATAGCTGCTGGAGCTTGCTCTGGTTGGTATGTTTCACACAGAATTATGAGGTCTTCCTCTCCATCTGATGTGGGTTCTGCTGTTCCAGACATCAGTCAGTCATTAGGTAAGTTTAGGTAACCTTTTGTTAAACTTTTAAGTTACCACCTTTCTGTTCTTCATGAAAGAAAATTTCCCAGTCCATAATGGTTTGCTTAAGTCCTTCTTCCTCATTTTGTGCATGACCTTTTGTTCCAGGCCTTTGCTTAGTGGTCCTATATCCAAAGAGACAACCACAAACCCATTAGGCTTGGCTAATATAAGAGAAAAAGTCTCTTTTAAGAAATTTTCATTTAATTAAGAACAAGAAACTACGTTTAATGTTCCATCTGACTAACACCTTAAATTGGTATCCAACCAAATACAAAAATGCATAGAAAGTTAAGAAAACTGCAAACCACGAAGGACAGAAAAACTGAAAAACTAAAAATTTTTTTTCATGGAAGGACAAAATACAATTTCAAAAGAGGCCAGTTTGCACAACCAGTATAATTTTTGATTATAATATTTTGTTTCCTTTTGCTGTATAGAAATTTTTAATAAATGTGTCTGTATTATTTATGTGCATATTGCATTCAATTTTTAGATAATTGTTTATTTAATTCAGATACTAATTTTTCATTTTTTGTCATTAAAAAATATAGAGAACAATGCATCCACTATGCAGGAATCAAAATTTGGAGACAAAGACTTCATTAAAGAGTGATATATCACCTGTGGTCTATTATGGTGTCCCTGTCTATCACTTGTAGAAAGGGGTGTTTTAATAATTAAATATATGGATTGTTCATAAATGTTTGAAACAATCAACCTTTTTTGTTATAATGTGGATTGTACATTAATGTAAAAAAAAAAAAAAATTCAATCTTTTGCCAATGCCATAACATCAGAATGTTGTGTTACAGCAGAATGAAAGACTGACTCAGCACAATACTTAGTTTTGTTTCATGTAATTGTGTTCAAGTTAGTCACTCTGTCTAAAAGTAACTATTCATAAAAAAACATGGAAGGTGATGGAAAGGCAGTTGTGAGGCCCTGGTGGTTAAAAGGGCAGAGAAAGGAACAGAAGGGTTTATTGTCATGGTACACTATGGGAGAAAACTTAATTGAGCTATTTGAGGTTAAGTCTTTAAATTTGTTGGGGCCCTTGAACACACCTTGGAATTTCCTTCTTTGGTTTTTTGTTAGGCCAACATTATCTCTCCCTGATTTTACTTGTGTGAGAATTCAATGTTTTTAGAAAAATTGGAGTAACTAACCACAGAGGAAATTTTTCAAATACTAAAAGAAACTACTACATGAACCTGGGGGGCAATTACAATTTTAGTCTTTGAAAGGATTTAAGAGTATTATCCAGTTTTCATTGCGTTGATTAAAGACCTTCTTTCTATGAATACCTACATGTACCCAGTGTTGTTTGTGGTTTGTTCAATAGCATAGGTGAGGGGAAGTGAACCTTTGTTCATATCCTGTCTTTGGTAGAGAAAAAAACCTTTATTGGCCAAGATACACAACTTCATTGCATAAATGCCCTGTTATTTATAGGTTGGAATTGACATCTTGGACTTGTCATTCTTGCATTTTTCAGATCTTCTATGTCTTTTGTGATAATTATAAAACATTATGAGTTTACTTGATTCCCATTCCTGTTTTAAACTTGTATAATCAGTCATTTTCCATTAAAGGCCTAATATGGAACAGTTTGTTATGGTAATTGATGAAATTTGCTGCTGAAGTTGCATGAATTCAAGAAATCCCAAGATCATGTGGCATTCAGCCAGAGTGCAAATATTGGGAAAATTACCACTTAAAGTCAAGACTTCCTTCATTTGAGAACTCAGCACTGTCATATAGAAGTGACAAGTTACTGCCTTTCACTTAAAATGACTGACATTTAGCCACATTCTTGTATTTATAGGTAGAATAGGAGACAATGAAAAATTAAAGGAAAGAAAGGAAAAAAAATTAGCCAAACTAGAAATATAGATTGACCCCAAACAAAACAAAGAAATGGTGGGGAAGGAGGTAGGAGGGGTGTGTCAAGTCCCTTTAAACCCTAAAATGAGTGTTATTTGTTGGGAGGGGACCATGTGCTGCTATCATACAAAACCTGTTTAGTCCAGATAGGCTCCCTGTTCAAGAAACTAAATGTGAAATTTTACACCCTGTTTCTCTGTTCACTGGCATATACCAGTTTAGGCTGAACGAGGAGGGTACCCCTCCCATTGAGACTGATACAGTAAAAAATATAAAGATATTGTGTTCCTTTTCCCACCATACCCTACTTAGGTTCAAATTAATGTGTATCATCACCATTACCTTAGTACAGTACATCACACAAGAAACACAAGAAACTTATCTTGAACAAAAGAAGCCTTTTATCATGATAAAATGAATAAAATGAATAGATACAGATTTGTGTGGGGCTTTAGGCAATGCGGGAAAGTGAAATTTCAAAAGAGTGAGATGAGTGTATAATTCAAAACCGAAAACTTTCCTTGTTAGATGGATGTTAATAAAGATTACTTGCAGTAAACACTTAACACTACAATCCATCCCAGCATGGCACAGAGGAAAATCTTTTGCCACAACCACTCTATGTATGGTCAAAATCAAAATTTAACAACGAGGTAGACTCAATGTCTGGAAATACAAAGAGATAATAAGACGCACTTTTGGGTGCAGCGTAACAATACTGACCTTATTCCAGATTTCAATCTCACTTCCGGTGCATTCCGCAAGGGATCACGGGACTAAGCTTTCAGTTTTGTAGGAAGTAGCGGAGATTACAGTCGCTGAAGAGAAAAGCTTGCCTATATTTCCATCACACCACTCTATGATAGTCTTTGGCTTCTGGAACATGTTATAATTCAGTTCTCTCGACCTCCTTCCCGTGGCATGTGATGTTTTGAGCGCGCACAAATCTTTTCACTGTGAACGACTTGTGGTGAAGGTATGCGGTAAAGTAAATAACTTAATGTGCCGTGTGTTCTTTCAGGGTGGTATATTTTTACCCTTTAATCTTTGAATAAGCCCCGTCTTTGGAAGCCATAGGCTAGAAGATACTTGATCAACTACAGATGCGCAGAAAATCAAATTTGGCTTTTGCTTGATCGCTTCTACTTTTGATCTCACTTCCAGCTGTTATCCCCTTGTGTCGACTTTTTGTCTTTCATGAAGTTTTTTAAAGTAAATAATATAGATCACATTCTTGTCACAAGATGCTGGTGTTAAAAACAAAACCAAAATACTTGCAGTATTGTTAAACAAATTTTTGTTCGTAAAATGCTTAGCGCGTTCAAAAACAAGTTGACATAAAATCAATTTGTTCTTTTGCCAATATTGACGTTTACCTACAGGAGGCTTAAAATGCCCAAATTGAAGTGCTTCAGTTGGCTTTTGTTTCTGACCGAAGTTGTCCTGAAACTGAGAGTTTTTGTTATTGTTTTTTTCCGTTCTCTTCTCGGGATTATCTCGTGCGAGGAAGATTGTCTCTGAAACTATTTTGGGTTTAATTTCCATGCTTTTATTTGCACGAACAAGAATCATGTTTGCGTGTCTTGCGTTGAAAAAACGTTAAATTGTAACTTGCTAATTGTAACCGCGAATATTTCATTTTTCTGTGAGAGTCATGATAAGTGCCACAAAACTTGTCTTATTCACTGCATATTTATATTTGTTCACGGCTTTATCTGACCTTAAACTGATCTAATCGAGGGTTTAAAGGGATTCGAGAATGAAGCTGACTCTTTCAACATAAGCAATCTTCCCAGAGCCCACAACGAGCAAATAGCACGCTGTGGAAAATTTTAATTTTGTATTCAAGAACACAATATTATTCGGAAAATATTTACTCTGAGAATTTGCGTGTGAAGAAGTCGACAATTTTTACAGCTTCAATGTGAGCGCACGAAAATGAAAGTTTCTCATGCGAAAAGAGGTCAACAAAGGTGGAATACGATTTGTTGGTGATCATATTATTTTGGCGAGGACTTAACGATGGTAGTTATATTGTTTTGGTTTCTTTTGGGTTCTCGCCCACCATTTCATGGAGAACGAGGTTATTTATAGCAGTGGTGTTACCTCGTTCACCTCCTTAAAAGGGAAATTCTGTATGTTTATGATTATTCATGAATTTTCAGCTGACGTTATTTATGCTTTCAAACGTATTGGATGACTCTAATTACCCTGGTACACAAATTAACAAACCAAGTCTATCTCTCTCGTCAGATCTTCACATCTGTCTTTCCCAGACATAGCAGAAATTTTAAGGAAACATAAGTCACTACGTGTTTTTATCAGTATTCTGATATAAGCTTTAGTCACTTAGTACTCTGACATCATGAAATCAAGGATAAAGAATGTTTTATTAAAGAAAAGTTACTGTTTGCTTTTAATTACTTTTTTTAATTTTAACATCTTACATCACCTCAGAAATTGAAATCAAATGTCAGAATGATGTCATACCAGCACATTGATAAAGAATGTTCAAGGGAAGGTTGAATCATAGAATTTACTTTGAGGTTGTTCATAGCGAATGCGTATTGTAGTGTAAGATTCTTGGGCTCAAAAAATTATATGAATGGGAGAAATTTTGGCCTGGATTCCAGATTCCACTTGTCTAGATCAGATTGCAGAAATAATTGTTAGTCTCTGGTCTGCCTTTGGGCTTTTCTGCACTTGCGAAAACTAGAATTTTCCTGACAAAATCAAGGGACAAATTTTGCCATGACAAATTTTCATTTCCTCTGTTGCATCTGCATTGAAAATTTCAAAGCTGTAAAATTCTGTCAATACTTGGTCTGTTCATAAGACTGGCCAGCATAGTTTGTCAAAGGATTCCATCTCTAGTTTCCAGGATTTATCCTAGGTCATTTAAAATTTTAGAATCCCTGAGTCATGCAACTTGAGGCAATTTTAACCTTTCTAGTAAACAGATTTCAGTTCAATTACATGCTGGTAGTAGCTTTTACTACAAATGATCAAGTTTATCATGGTTTTGTTTGTTTATTCAATTTTGTCTGGTTTTCACCTTGGACAAATTATGTTACTGGTGCGTTGAGGACTTGTCTTCTCTGGCCAAAATCTGTCAAGTTGCAACAAATCATCCCACTTGTGAATGTTCACAAGGACAGAGAATTTGTCTAAACAAACGACTTTTTGGCTAGAGTGGAAAGGCCTTTTGTCATTATGTCAATGTTTGTCAGCTTTGTTCTGCTGGTATTTGTTAGTATAAGTAGGCCTTTTGATAAGGACCAATAATAATAAAAATAATAATAGAATTTGAATACTGTATGATTTATCCTGGTTGACTATGGAGCAAGAAGGGATCACTGCTTTAAAATGTTCTCAGAACAGGTTGTCAAGGAGGAAAATTGCTTGTGAGAAATGTTGTGGGACATCTATTTTTAAGCAAAGTACATGTTGTACCATTAGAAATACGAAATCCCTTCCAAAATGAAATGAAGCCTTGGGAGAAAGAAAAAGAACAATTTTTGTCATATTATGTGGTCTTTGTACCACTAAATCTTTCATAGAGCAGTTCAAGCTTAGATATTATCTGTTAGACTTGGTTGGAATTTGACATTGCCAATTTGACACGACTAATTGCATGTCTACGAACAGTTTAAGTAGGTTGTTCAATGGCCGTTCAACAATTTCTTGGGAAGCAGAGGCAAAGTAGGAGGGGGAAGGAAGGGGAGAGTTCTTCATTTTCCAAGCCAAAACCCACTGATATTTTGGAAAATTTCTAATTTTAAGTTTCTTTACAATTTCAATAGTGTCCAATACATGTACATTGCTAACTGATGTTTGACCTCCTTAGTACCTGTTCAAGTACCAGCTAACTTTTATGAGGTTTTTTATTTTGTTCATTGTGTTTGCGATGAATCAATTTGTGAAAAACTTGCAAGGCTGAACATTTCCCAGTTTTGCTACACTTTTGTAAATTTCTATTTCAAAATGTGGGGCCCTGCCCCCCCTAATTTCAAATTTGGAGGAGTTTTAGCTTCCTTTGTACCTCTCTTGTGCTCTACAACCTACTGAATAGTTGATAAAAATATGATAACAGAAACACAAGTTAGGCTTGATTTCTGTCATTCTTTAGAGCCCAGTTACAATGTATCTCTCCTCCCAGAGAGGACTAGATAGGATAGCAGCCCACCATGTCTGATTTAACCATCTCCAGACATTATAGATACAAATAATTGTGGTTTATATATTTCATTGGCTTTTGATTTATTAAACTATTTTGATTTTGATGTTTCTTTGTTTTGTATCTTGACTGTCATTACCTTGAAACCTAGAAATATGTAGGGTAAACTGGTTTGGGAAAGTTTGGAGAAAGCAAATATTGAACTACAAAGAATACTAGACTTGGAATATTTTTTAATGTGGATGTTTAAAAAAATGCACATACTTGAGTGTGGGCAAAAGTAAGGTTATAATAAGTGAGAATTTTACCAAATGTGATTGTGTCGATTTGAAGATGTCAACATTCATGCAATCATGATAAGTGTTGATACTTGGCTTTCAGAAAAAAATGTGTTGTTGAGACTTGATTAATAAGACAGTAATATGGTAATTGATAAGCAAAATGGCAACATACTTACAAGGAATCTTTCAAAGCTTGGAAACAACTTTATTACCAAATGTTACTCTCTTTTGCATATTATTTGGTTCAGTTGTGTTTGAAGAAG